TTAAATGATATTACTATATAATATACTACTAAACTATTGCAAAGTACCATGGTTTGAGTGTGAATATTTTTTGAAATATTTTTAACGCCTATTATCGTCCATTAGAATGAACTGACCGCCAACTACTCCAGCATACAACCTAACCTGGTTGTCTAAGATACCGTCTATGTATCGCTGACCTGTTAATGTGTCTCTATTAAGCACAACCAGGTCGGTTTGTCCATCCCAGATGATGCTTCTCCACACCATTACTGACCCACCTCCGTAGCGGTCATGCTCATAAATATTTGCAGCCTGAAACCGTCATCTCGTCTAGTCTGGCATGATGCAGCAGGGGGCCACCTTCCGCCAAGTTAGTGCAGAGCTTAGTTTACACCACTACGTCATCACCAGAGCCAGGGTTCTCGTTCTGCTCTAAACTTAACAATTTAAAGAACACAGAAGGATGAACATTCCAGATTATGATATGCCTGCGCTAGTTCAATGAATATCATACTTTAAGGCAAATGTACCGAATTATCTCTATCCGTCAGACTGTAAAGGACATACTATATAAATGTACTAATTATATAAATAATGACTTCTTAGCAGCTGACCAACCTATGTTACCTAATAGACCTGACTTCAATCTATTAAGTTATAAAGTGTACTTCTCTGGGACATTACTGGTTCTAGATAGTAAAACGTGTGACACAGTTGAGAACTATGCATGCTTGATAGCATGTGCCAGAAACTGCAGCACTATCAATCTAGCAAAATGCTAGAATGTAAGGAAGAAAGATTTTTGACCATGTTTTTATTACAAGCTTAATTTTACCGGCGAATTCTCTGCTTACTTTTATTATCCGTCTAGATATCGACATGTAAATACATGTATTCAAGTTTACAGTCTGTTTTTGAAATAACCTCAGTCTGCAGATCTCAAATAAGTAATATAGGTAATAAATGATTTACTTTCGTTTAATCAAAGCAAATTAAAAATTAAATGCACATTTTACTCGTTTTTAAACAACTGTTTTTCTTTTTCAAAATATTCATAAATATAAGGTAACAACAACAGATTTGTGTAATTACTATCATGAATAAATGTCGGATTCTGGCGTTTGACATAGCATTTTCTATGTGCAGTATCATACTCAACATAGTGTACTAATTTTAAATGCAAATAACCTTTACTTGGCAAAAAGCACTCATTATATCTAATAATACGTATGTTATTGTTGAGCAATCATTTGTCCGTTCAGCAAAACCACAGTTGTTTTATCTTTAAGACATGTGTAACATGCATTAAGCTGTAACAGTTATGAAAAAAAGAATGCTAAAATAATACTTTTACAATTTTATAACTTCATCAATTTCTTCATTTCCAACATGAGTTTTGCCACGTAAATGAAAAAACACATATGATTGATATCAATACAGCTTTTATTCGGTAATTAAATACGAATATAGCCTTTTTAAAGATAAAGAAAACTGTGTAAATGTCGAAAATATTTGCTGCTTATGTAACTTATACACTCAAGCTTACAACATTTGTACAAAAGTCAGTGAAAGAATTATACATACAATAAAGCTACTGATGTTTAACCAAATGTTGCTTTTATCAGCTGAATTTTTATTTTAGTACTATAAGAGGCTGCTTGCATGAAATATATATTTAAAATCCTACAATTTATAAGTAACTGTAAAGGGAAACAATAGAGACACAATTTGTTCTTTACTATTATTCATTTTATTGTGCTGGAACAAATATATGGCTTTGTGATACATGCATACAGTTTATATTACAACAGACCTTTAATGATTTAGATAACCAAGTTACCAACATATATATTTAAACATATACCGGTATATCGTAGGCAGATAATTCGTCTTCTATCTATATAAATCTGACAAATACCATCTTTTTAAATACTTATTAAAGTTTTCTCAGATAAAACAAGAATTTGTGACAGAGTTACCAACGTCCCCCGCCTAGGGGAAGTTTTACATGAAGCACAAAATTGTGCTTTTTCAAAAGATTGAGGTATGGTCCTTTACTTTCAGTGCAATTTATTTTATAAATGCTAGATCTATTCATGCCAGTAACAATAAATTCATTAAAGAAATATAATGAAATAACTCTCGTGTATGTGTCAACAGAAATGCATTTGTATACTTATAATCACTATTTCAAAGCCACAAAATGTGACAAATACAAACTCAATACATGATATGGCCTGTTATAGGGTATATTTTGTGTCCCGTCATCCAACAAGGTATGTGGGCAATTCTAAATGACATTTTATTACAAAGGCCTGACTTGGCAACACACCTTGTAACAGTCTATTTTATGCTTTGACCTCCAAGTACGACTTTGACCTCTGCTATAGGGGTATAGGTATGGCGTATGTTGTCTTATTATTATTACCATTTGTGCCAAATTATTCTAAAATCCCTTAATTGATGAAAACGGTATATACCGGAGACAAAAAATACTCTTGAACAGACCATCACTCAAGTGTGACCTTCACGTTGAAGGTAGGATTTTGGCTGTTGCATATGATACATGGTCCCATTATTGTGCAAACAACCTTGAAAAATACAAAATATTCTCAATAAAAGACCATGTTAAGATTTGACCTCTAAGTGTTGCCTTGACCTTGGAGATAAGAATCCGGGTGTTGAGCATGACAAGTCATGTTATTATTGCTAAGTATTTATAAACTCCCTTGATGTATGAAGAAGTTTTGGGCCGGACACAAAATATACCATTTAACAGACTTTGTTTATCTTTGACCTTCATCTTTGACCATGACCATTGAGCTAGGCGACTGTTGTATGTGCATGACACATAGTATTATTATTGTGAAGTATTTTCAAAATCCCTTCATGGATAGGAAAGTTATGGACCAGACACCAGATATACCCACAAATAGACAATGTCGACCTTTAATCACCAAGTGTGACTTTGACCTTGGAGGTAGGGATTTTGTGCATAATACATCATCTTATCATAATAAACATTTGTGCCAAAGTATTTCAAATTTCTTTGATATATGACATAGTTATGGACCAGACACCTAAATGCGTCGACGGATAGGCGGACGGACACGGACGAAGCCTATTTCTTTATGACCTTTTTTTCGAAAAGGCGGGAGACTGTTGTAAGCATATTGTGTAACTCTGAAATACCATCAGGTGTGCAATATATATTATGAATAACACAACCAATAAGCTCTCATAATGGATAAACTGAAAACTCTACTTAAGATCTTTCTTAATTGAGATAATAATTTTGAAAAGTAAATAAAATCAATAGTAAATGTATATGAAAGTTCAATCAGATTGATTGCTTAACATAACCAAAATGTAAAGAGTGATATCATTGTCATTAACAACAAGAGGGCCATGATGGCCCTAGATCGTTCCCCTGTACCGTCAATCACATCTAAGCAATGTCTGCATCCTGACCAAATTTGATGACAATGGAGTCAATAATGTGAACTCTAGTGTGTTAACAAGGTTTTTCCATATTTGGGCAGTGTCACCTAGCGTTTGACCCCAGGTGACCCATATTCAAACTTAACCTAAAATCATCAAAACAACCTTTCTAGCAAATTTCCAGAAAATTGGGATCAAAACTGCAGCTAGAGTGTTAACACGATTTTTTTTATTTCTAGCTCCTGTCACCTAGTTTTGACCGGAAATGACCCATATTTTATCTTGACCTAGAAATTATCAAAATAACTTTCCTGACCGATTTCCCGGATATTTGGATCAAAACTGCAGCAACTAGAGTGTTAACAAGCTTTTTTCTATTTCTAGCCCTTGTGGCCTAGATTTTGACTGAAGATTACCCATATTCGAACTTAATCTAGAAATATTTAAAACAACATTTCTGACCAATATTTAGGATATTTGGATCAAAACTGCAGTGTTAACAAGATTTTTCTATTTTTACCTCCTGTGACTTAGTTGTTGACCGGAAATGACCCATGTTCGAACTTGACCTATAAATCATCAAAATAACCTTCCTGACCGATTTCCAGGAAATTTGGATCAAAACCGCAGCCACTAGAGTGTGAACAAAGCTTTTTCTATTTTTAGCTCCTAAGACCTTGTTTTTAACCGGAGATATCCTATCTTCAAACTTCATCTGTATTTCATTGAGACAAACATTTTGACAAAGCTTTATGATGATCCATTTAAACTGTGACAGTCTGCTAGACTGTTAACAACCCAATTGTTGACAACGCACGACGCCGGACATAGCCCCATCACTATACCTCACCTTGACCACTTTGTGGTCAGGTGAGCTAAAAACTGTAAATAAATCATACATGCTCCTGTAATGGTCTTTCAGTGGAAAGTAATTAGAAAATTGAAATTAAGCTTGCAAAGTTAATTCAATGTAAATTGATGGTCTTCTTCATAAATCCACATTTTCAAAACTGAAAATATCAATTTCTTTAAGTTCACTTTCTTTAAAACCTTTGTCATTATCGACAAAACCAGTATTGATAAATTCAAAACTTAAACAAACTTGTAGACGTTGTCACTTGCATATCAACACCATACATGAACATAAAATCAGCATAAAAAATAGTGAGAGTAATCAAATATTCAATGTGTATTACAGAAGAAATTTTCTCTAACAGAATACGCATAATAACTGCAGTGCAAAATCATTTGATAAGCTAAAAAGCATATAGATAAATATACTTACATACCAAAAAATCAGTAACGAAATGAATGCATATATGTATATAAAATATGAACATGATTACATATATAAAAATAGCATGACATTTAAAGGCAATTATCCCACATCTAAATGATATAGCAAGCAACTGACGTAAATCAGATTAATGTCTACATCAGGTTTTGCACAGAAAAAGCTGATGATAGACATATTAGCATAACATGAGAACATACCGCATCAATTCTGATTTTCATATTTTAAACCGCTATTTTTGCTTTTTTCTTTTTATTTATTTATTTTTTTTATTTTTTATGGGGGTGGGGGGGGGCATCCATGGCCCCTAAACCAACCATTGACCCACATGTTTCCTTATGGAAATATTGTTGAGTCAAATTATCAAAATCTTTCTCTATTTATCGAACCTTCAAAGACATAAGTAACGCAAAACAGTTTTAGATATGTGAACAATTAGAAAATTTTGTCTCTGTTTATAAACATTTTTTTCCTTGTTTTGATTAACGTTTAAAATGAATTCAAATTTCAAATAATAGTAATAGAAAGCCTGCAAGTTTGAAAATGAAACAACAGCAAAATGTCTATATAGGCCAGAAAAAGATAAGAGCCAGAAAAAGATAAGACTGTTTGCTGAAAACAGGAAAGTATGATCGAACCACACTTAAAGCGTTAACAAATTGGGAAATATTGTGTCAAACTTTATATAAAATCAACTAAGAATCATACGAATATGTATCCAAGATCAAGTAAACAACTTAACTTTGCATGTTTATGTCATACATTACTCACATATAAACAAAAAAGTAATTCTACTTTAATCAGTTGGATAATAAAAAGAAACAAACACACGTAAAAATAATAGAAATGTATATGAGTTCAGTGTCATAAACCACACAAATGCCAGCATGTAGATAAACTGATGAAATAAGTAGCTAAATACTATGCATTTAAAGAATTGAATGAAATTTGTACAATGCAACAGTGCTGAATCAAAAATTAATGTGACCTTGTTGAAAAATCCGTTAATTAAAAAGATAACATTGCACTACAAGGGATTTTAGGTAACCATTTGCAATAATATCGATTGAGGAATTAATAATGAAAACTGTACCATTCATAATACTTCAAAAAAGTACTCATAATTCTCTAATACTTGTGTTCGCAAGATACCTTACTACATAATTATATATTTATGGTATAAGATATGTTACGTCTTACCGCGCTATCTAACGTCAACGTCACTTCTAACGTATGTTATTTTGTTTATAGTTACTACTGAATTTTCTATACCCTGAATTTAGAATGTCAATACAGAATCAAACCTACACAACACCTTTGAATTTGTACGTTTAATATACGAAGCCAGTTTTACAAATTGATATTAATCTTTTAATAAATTTTGGTACAACAAATACTTGGTACAAACAATTGGCAAATTTTGGTACTAGATAATAGCATCACTTTGTACCATACACTTGGTCCAAAACATTTAGTAATTACAATGTAAAATCACTTAGTCTTTAAAAAAAATAATTAAGACATGCGAAGGTTCAACACCTACCTTTACTCATTTTAATAAAAACTACTTTCTATTATATTGATACACTAAGACGAGTACATTATCAATAGATGTATATATAGATATAGTAAACAATGAAGCAAATACATGTGCCTATTAGTAAATATATTGTAAAGACAATTTAGGTGAAATCGCCAAAAATATATTTATTTATTCGAATAATCCGTTTTATTAATTTACTGTATAAAGTAACATATGCACAAAATGTTGACTTTTAGAGAATACTGAATGACTAAGTTCACAATTTAAAAGTTCAATTAAATGTATTTGGAGTTAAAGAAAACTATCAACAGTTATTACAAAATAATGTATTTTCTTTTATGATTCGCATGCTTCATGCAAACTATGACTGGCTTTGCTTTAGTGTTTTACCCAACTTCAAACTTTTTTTCTAACTAGCAACTACTTTGCATATTTTGACACATTTCATACAATTTATGCGTATCCACAATGACTTGCGCTTGCCTAAAAAGTTAATATGATCAATTGACAGTTAATTCATTTTAAAATGTGAAACACTTTATAGAAAGTCAAAAAGGAATGGATGCAAGAAGCGTCGAGTATTATATTAAATGCAAAGAAGTACAGTACGTATATTCAATTTAAAATGAATAATTTTACAGCTGTTGATATTTAAAAAAGGCACACACTTTAGCTACATACATTGTTTTGTTTTGCTGTTTTACATAATGCACATGACTTTTTTCAAGCATATATATATCTAATATTCTTCAATTGTTTTATGATGTAATTCCAAACACTCCTGTTGCAGCAAAATCACCCTATCGTGATATTTGGTGATTGTGTATATCAATAAACACCTAAAAAATTAAAGCATAGCTTAATTTACATTTATTATGAAATCAGATATTGATAAGTATTTATTTGCCTGTTGCTAATTTGTATTTGGATTGCATGATTTATACTTAAGTAATTATTAAATCTTTTTGGTATACACATTGAAAACATTTTAAGTGCTCTGGTCAACGGACGAATTATAAACACAGGGGTAAAAAACTGACATTTGCCAGATTTATCATAATGTTCAAATATAGATCTCATGATCATTAAAATCATCGATTATTAAAGTATGTGAAAGATGTATCACTATTCACTGAATCTTATTAAAATGACTCGATCAAACCACGTAGTCTGATGTCGAACCATTAAATTGTGTTAACATTGTTCTCGAGAGATCTCCACTTAACAGACACAACGGTGCAATTTTTACAGACTTTTAAACGCATACATTTAATTAAACACGGTACAAATGCAAAAAAAAATATAAATACCTCGGTATTTTACGTCTTGCATATATTTCATGAAGACTTCATATACAAGGTCATGACAATGATCTGACTTGCATACAATTGTTATTGCCATTTGCAATGCATACTTTTCAGTCACTTGTTGCTTACAGTAATCTAGGTAACTCTCCAAAAAGCAATTTGCAGCAAATTGAACCTCATCATCATTGTTTGAATCTGGTGAAATAAGAAGACTTTTCAAAGTGAGCACTTGTAAATTCCAATCTTTAGCAATTATTTACTTCTTTATGTTTACCAAGTGTGAAATATTTCACGCATAAAACGAATAATTAAAAACGCTTAGAAAACAACCTCCCACAGATTATCAAATAATGACATTTATCGTGTAATTTCTATATTTCGAAATAACGTTTCAATTGACACTTATTATAGCTAAGTGCCCTGGATTTTGTTTCATAACTAAATGCACTGTTTTACAGATACAAAGCAAACACTTTTTATCAAACATTTAGCAAATTTAATTTATCATTCTAAACGTCTGTTTAGCAAACATTGTTAAAAAATCAACAACTATACTTAAATTCCAAATAATAAAGACTGTATAAAATTTATTTAAAACAAATGATCTATCCCAATGAATAACAACATATTGTTAAAAAATCACACATATTGATCCAACAGATATTGTGTATACAAAACAGTGAGAGAAAGTGAAGTGTCTAAAACAGTAAACTACTTGCTTATATTTTATTATCTCTCTTTACAAGTTTTTTATTATCTCTTTTCTCGTTATTATAAAAGAACCAAAGATTAAGGAATATTTATATCGTCGGCGAAAGTAACCCGAAAAGGAGGAGTAAAGTTTCAGGCTAAAAAATTATTAATTTGAGAGGTGTATATTAGCCGACAAGAACATTTCAGTCTATACATTCAACTGAAGTGTAATGTAAATTAAGTTAAAATTAAGTTCAAAACGAGTATAATGGTTTTTTACATTGTCTTTATAATTCGAAACTATGCTAGTTAAAATAGAAATGTGGGCTATGTGGAAATCAAAGTACATTCTTATTAATACTTCACAAGTCAAGTATACTAGGCCGTAGATGTCCTGGACGTATGGTCACTGCCTGCCAAGACTGTCTAAAGATGGAACGGGCTAAAATATGTTTCTTCATGTTTGCAAACACAAATAAGGTTATTGTGCGAAACGTAAAGTTTTCCATTTATTAATTGATTTATTGACAAACATTATATTTAGTAACAGAAATATTTAAGAATTAAGCAACGACATTGGTTTTGACATTATTGCCGAAATCTAGGTTCATATATGAAACAAAGTCTTCAACTTCACATTATTCTCAGCGACACCACAAGCTGTGGTTAAAACTGTACAGTTAACATAAAAGTTTATTACTCTTTGACTGAGCACATATAATACAACATTTTTGATGTGATGTCCCATTCTCAACATCAACAGCTTGTCTGTCGCTTTTCATCTTGATGCTTTAGATACGTCTAGCTTTCCTAGCTATGGATACATTACAAAAAGTACTGCTTGATAACCACAACTGTATCCACCATTTACTATAACATCTCCTGTCTTGGATCTTTTATTCATTTTTCTTTCAAGTTCACTTTTGAAATTAGGTAAGTAAGACTTTGGTATTTTGTTTTGAAGTGCTTGTCCAATAGCACCACACTTCCCATTTTTATTTACTGATACAACTATTCCTTCAACTTTCACAGAAAATATGTCTTTTACGCAGTAAATGTTTAGCTTTTCTGACTCAAGGAAGCAAAAAACAATTTGCTTCCAACCTTCTTCATATACAAGTGGCTCTGGCAAATCTCTAATATATTCATTTACTTTTGCTTCATGACTGGTATATCTTACACTGTCTAAACCTTCTCCGCTGCTTTTTAATTCGTTATGATATTCTTTGGTCATTTTAGCAATGAATGTATGCTGAACTTTTTTCAAAGTTTCAGGTTTGATGTCGACGAAGTGTATTTCGTTTAGTTGAGCTGGGTTAACTTTTTTTGCAATATGAAATAATGGCACTTGCATATTGTTCCACACATATATCTATGGGTACCCCAAATATACCTAATAAAAAGACACAAAAAATACACTTAAATCGCTTTTAATGATTTTTTAATCTAGAATATCATTTTCAAGAAAAATGAAACAAAAAGCCCTTATTATAGTCTAGGCATAAGTATCTTTAAGAATATAGACCATTACGAAACAATTCGATACATATTTTTGAAAACATTTTACTACTAAATCAAACATGTACACTTTTCCTTAAGTATATTATGAACAACTTAAACGAATTCCTCATTTAAAATTAAACATTACATGGTATCATATGATATTCATGTTGTTGGCATTATAATTATAATGAGTTTTGCTTCGATATCTATATCCCAATCGGGCATAACTTCAAAAACCTGTTGCTGGTACATCGCTAGTTCCACCTACGGAGAGAATTTTCTTTTGAAGTTGAAGGGTGGGCCCGTATAAAAATAAGTATAATTTGTCTATGTATATAAAACAAACAAAAAAGGCAGCAATGCTGGAGAAATATTGTTTGTATCTCAACTTTTTTGAAATTTCTAATAGATTTTCCTTAAAATATGATTTTTTTTTCAAATTCAATGCTGACCCACCAATAAAGAAATTCAGCCGGTTGGTTTGTAAGAGCAATACAAAAAATAAATCAATATTTATTTAATGATACCAAAAAGGGATACTGTTTGATAGTTTTATGTAAGTATTGTCTATATTTCATTTAAAACTGTTTGGAAGATCCTAATTTTATCATGACAAAAATAACAATAGATTTACTTTAATCCCCCCAATCAATATGTACATTTTGTTATCTTTAACGCCAGTAATAAAATTTAGCTCTGGGTAAATATATATATATATATACACGAGTTCAATCGTTTTAAAAAAATCATAACCTTCACAAAACTAGTATAATGATGAAACCGTAAACAAAAAATGACCGGTCAACATTATTTCAAGATATATATAAGAGCTGTCCTGGAAAATCTAGCTACACTTCTCTCTGTGTGACTAGTACTAGTAAAGAACTGGGGTCCAAGAATACGGAACAAGCAAATCCTTAATTACCTATATGCAAGGTAATGATTGGCCTTAATCAACATGCAAATAAATTAAACATATGTTGACATCACATTCTATGTCGCTTAAAGAGATATGCTCTTTTCTATATTTTTACATCTTTTATAACCTTGACCTTGCATATATTAACCTTCATATGTTTCACACCAGAAGTTATGATAATGACCAATTGTGTTTCAATCCCTCAATTAATAATGGCTAAATGGTCGGAATACACATTTTCATATTTTTATCTGAATCTTGACCCCTATGTGTGACCTTGACCTTCGCACCAAGGACCTGAATTTGCAGGCGACACTCTGCCTTACAACGATTAACAATTGTGCTAAAAAATATTGAAATCCCTTTATGCATGTTAACGTTTTGCTCCGGAAGAGCGATTTTCAATGACCTCTAAGTGTGACCTTGACCTCTGACCGGGAGCCACAGTTCATGCGCATGACACTGTTTCTAATAGTGGTAAACATTGTTATGAAGTTTCCTTAGAATCCCTCTATATGTGTAGGATATATGCTCTAGACAAAATATCTATCTTTTATTATCTATAGTGACCTTGACCATCATATAATGTGACCTGGACCTTGCATTAATTAATCTTAATCACATGTTTCACACCAGTAGTCATGATTATGACCATTTGTGTTTCAATCCCTCAATAAATAATGACTAAATGGTCCGAATACAAATTGTCATACTTTTATCTGAAATTTGACCCCTATATGTCACCTTGATCTTGATCAAAGGGACCTAAATGATGTCGCTACATTCTGCCTATCATTGTTGATTATGTGTGCCAAATTATTTTGAAATTCCTCTATGCATGTACAAGTTTTGCTCTAGAAAAGCGTTTGTATTGACCTCTAAGAGTGACCTTTGACCTAGAGACCTGTTTCATGTGTGCGGCACATCTTCTCATAGTGGTGAACATTTCTATAAAGTTACATGCGTGAAGATGATATGCTCCGGAAAAAAATTGGACGCAGCCCGCCCAACCACCGCCTTCCCGTTAGTTTGCCAGGGGGAAACTATAATATGACCCGTTTTTGAAACGGGCGTATAAAAAGATGTCATATAAGTTTTGAACTTATTGACTGTAAACGAGACCTTAATCAAAAGGTTTAACGACGCTGACGCCGGCCCGCCGAGCTTGTCATGACAGTAGCTCTTCATTTTCTTTCAAAATAACATATCATGCTTGGTTGTCATTCATTCATTTTTCTTCATGAAGATTTAATTCACAGTAATATTCTCTTTATTCTTGCTTTTTGCCCACATAGGCACGTTTCGTACAAACAATACCACCAAAAATATGTGATGATAAACCCAATAAATAACCGAAAAATACAGTCTATTTATAGCTACTATTGCCGCTTAAGTAAGCAAATTCAATATCAAGTAAAAACTAAGCTTATTTATACTTAATTATTCAACTTTTAATTAATTTAAAACGATCCAGCTGATTATTTTGCCGACCTGTTACATATGTGTAAAGGAATTCCTCAGAACAGACTTTTTAATTAACATTTTATCAGAACATAATTTACCGTATTTCGTATTAAATTGAATAATATATAAATATAATTTTAAAGTCATTTGACTTACCATTCTTCTATAACACTCATTTTACTACAAAATCCGTGTGTATTTTCCTAATTTCATTTGGTTTTTGGTTTCAAACTACCCGTACTGACACGCAAATGTCCTCTATAACAAACATGTTATACAAACCTGAACTTATAGCTGGAATTGCGATACTTTTCAGACCCCTTCTTTCAGCAATTACGAAACAGTTGTAAATGGCATGAAAGAGATCATCTTTACATCTTTGAACATCATCATGAGAACGACTTTTATAATCATACCAACTTGGACCGACTGTATGAATCACACATTTATAATGGAGAACTCCAGCAGTTGTTGCAATAGCATGACCAACTGGAATTTCGCCATGTTGAGCAATATAATCATCCCCTTCTTTTGTTAGGCTATAACCTGCTGCTCTTGCAATCACTGCGGATACACCTCCACCATGTGATAAGTTTTTGTTTGCTGCATTTACGATACAATCAACAGGGATGTTTAAAATATCCCCTTTATAAACTTTCACCAGTGTGTTGCTAAATTTATAGCATCCCCCTGATTCGCTATGGTAAACATCTTTTGTATTTGAAGAAGGTTCCGATCTGTTTTCTTGCACCTCCTAAAACAATTACCATTACAATCTCCAAAAACATCATATGATTTGAAACACTCCTGTTTCCTTAAAACAGTTTAACCGCCTAAATTTGATCATTTACAGACAAACGTAGGCAAAGAATTATGAAGCTGATATATTCTTTTGATATAGGAACAATGGCTTTAATTCCATTATATTTCTAAATGACTAATTTGGTAATAATCTGTTTTGAAACGGTAAAATTGAAAATGTCGCAGGCTCAGTTTGATTGAGACCTGTTCATGGACGATATTGGTTATTACAAGTTATTGTCAACGCTCCCTTTCAATTGATTATAAGTACAAGATTTCAACAGTCAACCACGAAAATGCTGATTTTTTAATTTAGAAATACCCGCTGATGTGATAATATGGCAGTTATCATGGAATACTTGATTAACTAACACTCGTGCAATTCCATGACTACCGGCGTATAGTCCCCAAGTAAAGGGAGGATTCTATCGTTAACGAGAAAGCAAAATGCAAAACTATCAAAACAATAATTTATAATGGGGGTCAAATATTGTGAAGCCTGCATATGACAGATAAGGCGTCACACGAGACAAATTTTTAAAACAGGCAACATATCTGCATGTACAATTGTGCCAATCCATGGTTATTGCACATGTGAAAGTCAAAATAAATTTACATTTTGCCATAATTCCTTTCAATATTATAACTAACTTCGCATTAACACTAATAATTCATTTGGCACAAGGAAATTTCTGTAAACATCCATCAGACTTAGTTATTACAAGGGGCAGTCTTTTGATTTTTTGGCAGATTCATATTTGCCCTAAACATTTTCAGCTATTGGTCAATCACTTTTATAACAGTTATATTCTCTTTAAATAGTAAGTGCATTCAGCTCAACTTGACAATAAAAAAACATAAGCGTAATGTCAGTTTAAGGTTGTTATATACTATCAAAGAAGGAATACTGGAACCACCAAACTAGAAATAGAGCACTTATAATGAACTCCACAAACTACAAACACAACAATAACTACCTACTGAATGATCTTCGAAGATATGGAATATAACATCTCTGTAGGAATGTTCGGGGCGTCATTTTGCGGTCTCAATTGGTACAAACCACGCTAATATTGCAATAAAATAAAGTTAAACAAAGTTTGGTTTCATTAGTCAATATCATAGTATTGGAAATACCCAACAACCGTCCACGCCAACTTGAAATGGCAAAAGCAGAATTCACCATTTAAACATTATAAGGGTGCGATTTTGAATTTAAAAACAACCATCGGCGGTTCCACTCTGCTGCATTGTTCTTAAAATAGGCAGAGGTGAAGTTATTGGGAGAACACCAAAATTATCAGGGTTATTTCAGAAATAATGCGATAACAACTCTGTAAACTTTTTTCTTGTTTCTTGCTTTGTCTAGACATAATGTTTAAATCTTGAAATAATTGTTAAAGTCCAGGAATTGTATACCCTAAAATGACTTGAAAATCACAGGCCGACTGCTTCACGAGTGCTATTGCACCTTCCATTTTTTTTTATGCGTTTATTTAAGGTCGCCGCCGGAAAGCCCATATGGGCGACCGTACACTCAAGTCGGGTCATCCTAGAGCGTCCCGCCGAGATTTTTCGTCGATTTTTTCCAGCTTTATTGGTTGAGGAAGACCCCAGGTGCCCCTCCGGGCATTATTTCAGGCACGAGCGGGCACCTGGGTAGAACCACCGACCTTCCGTAAGCCAGCTGGATGGCTTCCTCACATGAAAGATTTCGACCCGAGTGAGGATCGAACCCACAGTGGTGAGGGACCTGTGATCTCAAGTCAGCGACTTTAACCACTCGGCCACGGAGGCACCTTCCAAAGACCAATTATTTCTTTTATAGTGGAAGGAATCATTCAAACGGGAGCAGTTCTTAGTGGATAATCTGTTTTATGCATCAATGCTCGTTCTTTGATTTTACTAACGATTAAAACTAAAATAATACTTGTCTTATACATTGCTATTTGATGCTATTGCGTAGTATGTTTTCAACTGTAGATACACATTCCTGCATTAGTTCTTATCGGGGACATCCTGGATCGAATAATAACTTTAAAATCCAGATCATGTATAGAATATAATTTTCAGAACAAAAGGTTTTTTTCTAAGTATATTCTAAGCTTGTCTCCGAGATAGCTGGGATGCCCATACCTATGAAAAAGTTTACAAACCTGCTTAAAGTAATGTTCACACGTTTAACGTTCAGAAAACTAGTTTTTGTCGTTTCTTGTACAGATACAATAACTGTTTATAATGTTTGACCATCATCGCTTTTGTTCTTTAGACTATTGATGTGGTATACAGCAAGACCAACTCCTATGTGCTTTCAGTTCTTTCTTCGAAATGAAAATAACCACTGCTGATGATATCTAAGAGAGAGAGAGGCTCATAATGTATGTCAATCTTCAAATGGTTCAATGGGTGTACGTGTATGTTTTAGAGGCATTTCCACTCAAAACGACCAGGTGGTAATTCGACCTGATGCCTAACACAGTTGTTAAAACACGAAATCCATCTAGAAACTGGGCAGAATGATATCTCAGTAAGTCTGAAAATATCACATATTTCACAGAATCTGTTTAATTATTATTCTCAGTTTCAACATAAGAGAAAATGTCTGTGCTTCTATGACGCAGTATTTTCATATATTGTAATGTGTAAACCTGTTTTTAAACTTTATAACTTACATCAGTTTTTTTTAAATTTCATGCATTCGTAAAGGAAATGTTTATTTTGATTTGAAAATGGTCTAGAATTAAAATTTTATATTTCGTGTTTCTTTTTTTTTCTTTTTTGATATACATATATGACATTTTAAGGTAGTAAGATCAAAGCTATAAAATGTTATTACATGTATTATAGCTGATAGCATTTATATCTATAAATACGCTTATCCATAAAACTAAATTCGTCCTTAGAAGGACAAAACTTTTACATTCAAGTGTAATTGCTGCAAATATGAGTGTCGCAGGACACACTAGTATACAAATGTGTTTTTAGTCGTATATTAGCATATGCTTTAACTTCCTTTTAGCAAGACCAGTGTCTATTGCAATCGGTGGACATTCATTCAGTAGTATGAAGAGGCGGTTCAAAGACCTTGCTGTTTTCATTTTTTGTACTTTCACAGCAAAACTGATGTGGTTATAGATTCGGATGTAATGCGCAAGAAACACCATCTGGTACTTCTATTTTTTATCTAAATGTCACATTTTTGTCTGTCCAGAAAGATAGGTCGCATTATCGAGGGAATCAATAAATGAACATCCATAACAAAACAAAAATAACAAACAAACCCTTACTACGCAATGTAAAATTTATCTGCAATGTACGAACTCAGTACTAGTCTTTAGCCTCTTGCAGGATAAACACAGCAAATTGCAATATTTTTTGCTACATGTCAATTTTTATTAGAGAATCAAGTAAATATAAGAGTGTATTTATTTTCTTTCCGAAACTTGCATTTAAAGACAAAAACTAAATAAATGCGTTCTACCGGGCGATATTAATTCTATTAGAGTTTTTATTGCATCATATCTATAATATAGGGGGTCACCTATAGTCTGTTTTAAAGCAAAGCAGTCGACGGAGTAAATTCCGTTTAATAATATATAATTCATTAATCAAAACATTTATAGACATCAATTTTAATGTGTAGCGAGTAACTGTTGTTAATTACACAAGTAGCGACTTATTTTTGCCGATTGATGCACTAACTAAGAAGCAGAAATAGTCAACCTATTTGTAATACAATGTAATACGCGTTTAGTTATTGTGATATTTTTTTCTTATGGGCAATATCTCCAAGATTCTGACCTAGAACAAAAATCTATCTTAGCACGTAACAATAATTTGACTAGAACGGAATGGTAGAGTAAAACAAGTGTTTTTTGTTTTTTTGCTTTATGTGTTTACCATAAACAATAAAGAAATAAGGCAAGAATTATATATCATTTCTGTATTCATGGCTGAACGGCGATTTATTTGTGTGTTACGTAGCAAATGGAAACGGGAACGAACACTACAGGAGGCGTGGCACCTTTTGCAAGAATTACGTATTCATTTGTCTTTCACGAATTTTATATTTGACAACTATATTTCAGTTGCTGAAATAACTAAAAAAATAAGTATATTAAAATTCTTCACCTTAAAACGTATATTTATGGATATGCATGTATTAAAATGATAATAATGCTATAATAGCTTTCTAAGGATTTGTTCAAAACGACGTTATTGTTGTGTGTAAACTTATTTTATGTTAGTGGTATTTTTAATTTCCATCTGTTAATTACCTTTTTCAACTTGAGACGTAACAGGATTCCTACTTGATATTGTATAAGCACCCTTAGAATAATGTATAAGCACCCTTAGGATATGGTGACTACTTTTTAAATATATCTATTGACGTCGTATCTGTGACATGCCGGCGTCATAACTTCTAACTCCCTTCCAAATTTCCATTTTGTTTAGTCTCGCCTATTGTTTTCTCGTTTAGGGCATACGCTTTCTTTTACTTGGGGACCATTAATTCGCCGTTTTTCATGGAAAGTGTCACAATGGAGGTTTCATTATAACCGCCGTATGAACACATTTGGGATACTAGTATTTCTAAATTCAAAATTTCACAGTTTTCATGTTTAATTGTTGAATTCTGCTTAAGCCGATGTTAAGGGGCATGGACGGTAACTTGCATTTTCCAGCACCGTCCATGAACAGGCTCAATAAAACCTAGCCTGTAACAGTTTCAGATTTGTCGTTTAAGACGTTCTTAAGGAATTCCAATTTTTTCTCTTTTTTGTTTTCTGCTGCGAGCAGCGTTGACAAATTGATATCTTGTGATCTATTTTGTTTTCTAGTGCAAGCAGCGTTGGAAAATTGATATCTTGTGACACCTAATATGCCATATTTCAATATGTTAAATTTAAAATTGAAGCGAACTACGTTTTCGTAATAATCATATGTTTATATTCTTACCTTTGGTAAAGGATCTTTACTTTGGGCTTTATTAACTAAATCAGTTTCCTTGAACTCGATTTCATCTCGTTTACCTGAAAATTATATTAATAAAAATGAACTTTACGAATCATTTATTCTTATACTATCAGAGCGTCAATTATTGTTTTTGTTACTTAAGTAATTAGTACTATTTGTTTGATAACGTTGACCGAGACTATATATAAATGATGCTATACTTCAGAAGTATTTGTGATAAAGGAATTTTATCAGTTTTTCAAAACATGTGCATATGATAAACATAAATCATTAAATATAGACTACGAAAATATATCGAGTCATGTATAATTATAATAGAATACAATGACATTGCACGGTCTTTGAATATAATTACAAACTATATATGTGAAAACTAAGCATTAACAAAATATAGTAGTAATAAAATTTTGATATAGTATCTTCTAAATATTGCCGATTTCGGCGTCCAATATTTTTCGGAGCATAACCCCTATACACAGGAATGGATTTTAATGAGACTGTGTATAGAAATGGTCACCAGTATCAGAAACTGTGTCGCGCACATAAACCAGTCCTCTTAGTCAAAAGTCAAGCTTACAGTTAAAGGTCATTGAAAAAATGCTTGTCCGGAGGAAATTTTACATGTATAGAGATGTCAATATTACTTCGCACAAATATTCAACAATGTAAGGCAAAGTGTCGCGTTTAAATCCAGGTCCCGAAGGCCAAGGTCAAGTTCACAAACAGAGTTCAAAGTTCAGGTAACAATATGAAGATATGTATAGGGACCATATAGTCATGATTTATGTAAAACAAGTTGTCATTGCCATGACTTTGCTGGGACATATTTAATTTGGCAAGGCCAAGGTCATTTAAGAGGATGACATTTCCAGATTTTGTTTGGAGCATATCTTTTACCTGCATGGATTTTTTAAAATAATTCATAAGAAATGTTCAACACCATGAGGCGTTTTGCTGCACGCATAAATCAGGTCTCTAGGTTATGGTCACATATGAAGTTTATTAAAGCATGCTTGTCAGGAGCAAGACTTTTTACTGGAGGATTGTATAATTGGCACATATGTCCACCATGGTAAGACGGAGTTACGCGGACAAAAGTCAGGACTCTGCAGCCAAGGTCAAGATCACACTTAGAGGTCAACTTTCAGATATAAATGTGAAAATGTGTATAGAGACAATTTAGTCATTATTTATAGAGGGATTGTAATACAAATGGTTATTATCATGACTATGGTGTGAGACATGTAATTTAGATAAATATATGCATGGGCAAGGTGACATAAGATGATCAAATATCCAGATTTTGTCTGGAACATATCTCCTACATGCATAGAAGAATGTTAAACACTTCTGCATGCATTTAGCGTTTTTATACAAATTTGCACAAATTGTCATCATTGCGAGGATCTAACATAAAATTCAGTTCGCTGCATCCAAGGCCAGTGTCACACATAGAAGTAGAATTGCAGATAAAATACGAAAATATGTATAGGGACTAACTTGTTTGCCACCCTTCTTATCGCCAAAATCTCCACCTAAAGCTTTTGTGACGGGAATATTTTGGGACAATGTCACCCTTGTTAAATTGGTAAAAAACGAGAATAAGAATAAAGAATTCCATTAGTAAATTACCATACTTAATATAATAAGGAATTATACAACAATCGCATCTTACTTCGAATAAGAATCTCGATAATTGTAAAAATACACAAACGGTATTTGGTCTAATCCACGTTAAGAACATATACATGTTAACAAAAAGAAATTTAATGAAGTTAATGACTAAGTTTATTTTAATATTATTATTATTTAGTAAATGTCTACCATAATCAAGTAAATTTACAGATACAAAAGTTAAAAGTGCATCATTCAATTATAGTTGTAGAAACAAAGAATATTATAAACGTCTTTCCATTGACAGTAAAGTCGGATTTGTCATCAGTGTACATTCCTAAATTGATTATTGATTTATTTTTGTCAGACCTTTATTTAATCAGGATTTACCATAAAAGACATTTTCTATTCTTTCGATGCCAAATTTATACATTAGTCTTACATTATCGAAGATTACACCCTCTGAAAACAACGAAGCGGACCTACTAGTACGTTTAATCCGATGGTACATGTATTATCTTTTATAGCCGAAATTATGGAACGCCGTGACTGTCTTATGCTATCAATATTTTTTTGCTATCTTCTGAAATGATGATATTATTTTTCATTTAAGCATATTAACATGTGCAATTTATATCATATCTTGTCTAAAGACAATGCTGACTTGTCCAAACAGCATGTTAACTTGTCAAATAATCATTATGACATGTGCAGACAACAAGTTAACTTGTCAAAGTATCATGATGACTTGTGCAAACGACATGTTAACTTGTCAAAATGTCATGATGACTTGTGCAAACGACATGTTAACTTGTCAAAATGTCATGATGACATGTGCAAACAGCATGTTAACTTGTCGAATTATTGTGATGACATGCTCATAATACCTAAACAAATTAACATGTGTTTTGCACAAGTCATCACGATTCTTTGACAAATTAACATGTTATTTGTACAAGTCATCATGATAACTTGACAAGATAACATATCATTTGCACAAGTCATCACGATACCTTGACAAGTTAACATGCTGTTTGCACTTGTCATCATGAAATTTTGACAAGTTAACATGTCGCTTTCACAAGTCACCATGATACTTTGACAAGTTAGCATGTTGTTTGCACATGTTATCACGATGGTTTGACAAGTTAACATACTGTTTGCACATGTCATCATGAAATTTTGACAAGTTAACATGGCATTTGCACAAGTCATCATTACACTTGGACAAGTTAACATGTCGTTTGCACAAGTCATCATGATACTTGGACAAGTTAACATGCTGTATGCACATGTCATAACGATAATTTGACAAGTTAACATGCTGTTTACACATGTCATCATGGAATTTTGACATGTTAGCATGATATTTGCACAAGTTATCATAATACTTTGACAAGTTAACAGTACGTTTTGACATGTCAGCATGATACAAGATAACATGTCATTTGCACAAGTCATCACGATTCTTTGACAAGTTCACATGTTGTCTTCACAAGTCATCATGGTAATTTGACATGTTAACATGCTGTTTGCACTAGTCATCATGATACTTTGACAAGTTAACATGCTGTTTGCACATGTCATCACGATAATTCGACAAGTTAACATGACGTTTGCACATGTCATCACGATAATTCGACAAGTTAATATGTCGTTTGCACAAGTCATCATTATACTTTGACAAGTTAAAAAGGCGTTTGCACAAGTCATCATGACACTTTGACAAGTTAACATGCTGTTTGCTCATGTCATCACAATAATTCGACAGGTTAACATGTCGTTTGCACAAGTCATCATTACATTTTGACAAGTTACCATGTCATTTGCACAAGTCATCATTATACTTTGACAAGTTAACATGTTGTTTGCACAAGCCATCACGATACTTTGACAAGTTAGGATGTTGTCTGCACATGTCATCAATATCATTTGACAAGTTAAATTGTTGTTTGTACAAGTCAGCATTTTCCTTTGACAAGACATGATGTAAATTGCACATGTTAACACGCTCAAACGACAAAATAATATCATCGTTTCACAAAATAACAAAAAACTTTGATTACATAAGACAGTCACGGCGTTCCATACGAATTGCTCCGATTGTACAAACAATGCCCTAAAATTGCTTACAGTTTTATGTCAAGACTGAAATGGGATCATGAGTTCTGTACCTTTTTATTTAGTAGCTAATGAAACATATGATACATTGTAAGTCCATTTTATCACTTGCTTTACATTAGAATTAGTAATATACACTTCTACAGAAGGAAAATATCATAGTTTCCAAAATAACATGTTTCTGTGTAATAACGTCTTTCTTAATCGTTTATAAGATGGAGCTGGCGGATCATATGAGGTTCGATTCTTCAAGACACTTTAAGTGAACCTAAATAAAATCCTTTTCCAATTAAGCATAAAATGTTGAAAAAGCGAGGACCATTATAATAAAAAAGCTTCCTTTCTTTACAACTTAATATGAGATATATTCTTTAGAACATGGACATTTAACATTTAACATTTAACAATTATAACCATATATTAAGCTAACCTTAATTTATATTTGAAGAATGACATAAAATGGAGTCTAGCCATCCATTGACTAAAGCTATCCTTGAATAAAAAAGAAAATCGAAACAAAGATCTGTTCTCTATATAATTTCTTGAATTGTACTGTGTATTTCAATTTAATCTATATTTCAGCTGTTCGGGATATTTTCATCATTATACAAAATTAAACTGATAAAGAAATCACATTGTTAAAATGGCTAAAATTTCATTTAATATTCGTATGTGAAAAACTGGAAACAATGTTCTTGTCCGGTATGCTTACCAAAATATTTGGATAGATACCAATAAGAGATCCAAAACCTTATCAGTCCGTCCGAAAGATACAATCATTTATTTCGGCAGCAACACCTAATTTGTTTCAATTTTGCAAGGTATTTGTTCTTGTTTTGGCTTCCCGTTGCCATCAAAAAATTAACCATCCAAAGTCGATTTTTATTTTAAAATTTTTTGTATTTCCCCCCCTTTTAAAAATTTTTAAATTTAAATTAATTTGGTGCCTTTTTTCAAAAACATAAAAAGCTTTTGTCCCTGGGTCCATAATCTCAGTTTTCCTGAAAGGGGCAGTTAGGGCACCTTAAATATTAAGGGGTGCTTTGAATACAATCATAAAAAGCCCGCGAAAAACACAGGAAGCGTTTTTTATAAAAACTGTGGGATAAATTTTCTAGGTTTTAATATACCTTTTAGATGTAATCATAAAAAAGCTTTAAAGTATACGAATATAACATACCAGTTGTTTCCTTCTGTTCAAGGAGCATCCCAATCCCTCTGTTTTCTTGCATTGTTTCCTCTAGTGTTTGATCTCGCTTGAATATATATTTGGTAACAGCGTTTTTCTTCCTTATAATATCAATATTATGCTGTGTCCTTTTCAACTCTGGCTTTACTAGTAGTGACGTAACAAAGAATTTGTTAGGTTGATCCTTTCTAGACTCTACAAGACTGATTTGATGTGATATTGCAGCTATCAAATCTTCGCTCTCCTTTTGAATATCATCCATTTTTCTCTTGTCGTTCAACATAACGTCCTTGCCTTGATCAAGAACCTCTTTTTTCATCATGTTTATTCGCTCAATAGCTTCTACCGCAAATGTATCCACGTCATAAACAAATTTCTCATAATATTTGGACAGCTGTTGTCTGTTGTTCGCTACCAATGATAAACTATCTTCAGCCTGTTTCTTGCATTTGTTTAAATCCGCCATTAAAGTTTTACTGTCCTGACTGTTTTCAAAGGCAGCAGCTTTGTTGCTGATAAACTCCAACTTGCATTCATTGTGTTTTAACACCCCACAATCTCCACAGCAAACTTGGTCGTGCTTTGAGCAATAAAATTTCACAAGTTCTCCTTTGTGATATTGACAAGTTTCATACGCATCATCAACCGTTATTTTGACTGAATTTGACTCTTCAACATTAACTAAGGAATGATTTCTATTAATTCTTCGCCCTTTGTGCTTTTGAAAACATGTGTCACAAGTATAGACTTCGCATTCTAAGCAGAACCCATCGGCATATGTTGTAACATCAAAATCTTCACAGAAATTGCACAGTTTTAAATTTTTGTTTTTTAACACCGTTTTACCAGAGACTTCCATAATTTGGCATCTACATTTAAAAGCAAATTATGAATTGAATTAAATGAATGTTTCGCATTAAAATCTACTTGGCCTATATATTTATATCTGCGTTATTACTTGATCAGTTTTTATCATCAAAATATGCAAGCGATCTTTATAAGATTATCAGACTGAGTGTATTATTTAGTGTACGTTTTAAATGTTCCAACATTGTCAAATATTGAAGGATATTCATTTTATTGTTGTAAGGGGCTAAACATCCAAGCGAATACATAATGTCATAATCTGGTAAATGGGGAGCTCTTTTTTATTCTGATACTCAGGTCGACTGGTACTTCAAAACTGCATTACTTTTACTAGTAAAGAAAAGAACGCATGAAAACCAACTGGTACCATTCTTCAATCTTTAAATAAAATCAAATGCATAATAGATTCTCTCATCACCATTTGAAATTAGTTCTGAAAATAGATATGATTAAACACTGTATATATATTGAAAATAGCTATCAATGTTTATTACTTGTATAACTGTAAGTAAAGCATTCCCAATACAAACGTCACAACATAATTTGTGTAAACTCTTTTTATTATATTTATATTTATTGTTATAATGAACCAGTGTCAGAATATTCTATTGCTATATACAAATGCCACAATTACAGTCGTGTTACCCAATGGAATAAGTACGACAAAATTATTTAAGCGAGAATGACTATCATAGTCTCATTAACATGTTCCTCTAACAAAGCATGACATACTTCTCAGACATTGAATGAGTTCTCTCCGGATAAAAAGCACTTCATCTGCTATTTACCAGTCGATTCTTCACATAGGCTGACGTAACATTAACTTTGAAGTTACCCTCCTTTAACTTTGATTTCCAGTATAAAATAGCTAGCTATTCATGTAGGGTATGTTTTAATGTTTTGTGATTGAAAGTCTGTGAATATGAATAGATGGTTATAGTAAATGAATAAATAAATGTAGGCAATCGTTTGTCAATAAACTTCTCAATAATCGTGTATATCAATATATCGTATATTTCTTTGTCATGAGTATCATTATAACTTTGACTTTTTTAAATTACCAGACTTTAAAGTTTATTGGTATTGTATGGAAACAACAGGCAATGTAGAAGCTTATTTCATGACAGTTTCGAATAATTTATTATATCTATGATCTTTGCAGCGCTTAGAGTCTCAAACATTTTTTGTAAAAGCTAAATTTCAAATTAAATTTTACAATAACAATCAAAACAATTACACAGATAACATCTGCAAAATGCTTTTATTTGTGATGTATAAAGTTACGCACAATTAGTTAGAAAATGCACTATTTGCATATCATCGATATCGCACATTCATAACAAAACGTATTCAAAAGGGTATAAGACGTTTACTTAAAGTGTAATCTACGGTGGCATAAAGATGACATGTATGTGTTTTTATTTATCTTGTGGGCACGAGATACTATGTCGTGGCCACGAGTCATGAAGCCGTGTGCACGAGATATTTAAGTAGTGCGCAAGAGATACTATGTCGTGGCTACGAGTTACTTATACGTAGGAACGAGATAATTAAGTGGTGCGCAGAGATACTATGTCGTGGTGACGCGCGCACGAGATAATTAAGTCGTGCACACGAGATACTATGTTGTGGTCATGTGTCGCACGTTCTATATAATGACGTCTCGGGACCTAGTAAGTATAAACAAGATAGTTAAGTCGTGCGCAGGAGACAATCAATTAATCAGATAACACTATATATATATATTTGAACTTTTTAAACTTAGAAAATTCCTTGTTTAAGTTTTACATGCAACTTTTTGACACCACTGAAAGCACTCACTTTAAACTTGATACATGTCTTTAAGATTAAATAAGGAGAAAATCATTTTCAAATGCCCATATATCAGACTTTGATTTTGACTAAGTTGTAGCCATTTGTGGGGACCATCCTCTGATAGGGTTGTTCAGTATGTACGAGGGTTGTTCGGGAAGTTCTGAGATTGTTTTATAGCACACGTTGTAGTCGGGTTAGCGTAAATATAAATATATACGCATTTATTTCAATATATACAGTACAGTATCTGAAAATATCATCATCATACACACAGAAACTAAATCATAATGAAAATAGTAAATAACCATATAACACACACCCGGAGCACGCCGACGTCATTTGCAACGTTATGCGACGTTAAAGTCCATCGATCGTCGCACCTTTTCAACGTAGTCACCTGCAATTTCGATGCATTTCCTGTGTCGGCTGATCCACTTATTGTATGTTTTCACGTACCAGCTATCGGTAAAGGACGAGACTATAGCTTGCGTATGCTTAACAAGATCGTCAGCTGAGTCAAAGCGTTTTCCACGCAGCTGTGATTTGAGCTCCGGGAACACACGGAAGTTCATCGGAGCGAGATCCGGACTGTAGGATCGTCTTCGATCGAGTTTCTTCCTTTTTTAAAACGAGCATGCCATCTATACACTGTAGCCGGACTGCATTTCTTGCATTTTCCTGTATAATTGATCATTTTCATTGTTTCTGTGGAAGACTTTTCCAGCGCAACACAAAATTTTACGATGCTTCGCAATTCAACGTCACCTATCGACGTCATGTTATTTACTCAGTGGCTCTGGGCAACAACTTTAAAACAATGTTGATCCGTTGAGAATTTAAATTACGTTATGATATTTTCAGGAAATGATGTCATGACGTTCCGCTGCTGACCAGCGTTTTCGCGCATTTTTTACGTTATCAAAATTACGAAATATTATTAGTGTAGCGCGTTATACCTTTCTTTAGAGTCGGACTGCTCCGGTGCGGCGTTATAGTGTTGCTATGGTTACTGCTATTTCCGGCTATTGTTGTCTGATTCTATTCAATTTTTAGGAATAGTTCCGTGATATGCTAATCTTAGTATGTGCAAAATATTACGTCTTAGAAACAAAAAATATAGGAAATATGACAAAATTCTCAGAATTTCCCGAACAACCCTCGTACGTACAAGCTGCCTGTTAACCTTGTTCACACGATAAATGGAAAAAGAATAAGCCCCATCTTCTTTTATTTGGTATGATCATTGCCCATGGCAAACAGTCCTTTTATGCAATCATTATTCTGGCTGACCACAGATCTCGATGTTCTGTTATATGCATCTTATCTTTATGCAGAAATAGAGCAGCTTGTTTCTATGCATACTCTTTACTGAGCAACTAGACAAAAACTTCACATTGTTTTACACTTTGTTAGTGCTCTTTGGTAACATTAACATATAACATTATATGAGGACAAAAATGTAAAGAAAACTTATATAAATAAGACAGGTGTCAAAGGCTCGAGAAAGTAATGTTCTAAAGGTAATGGGAAACTAATTCGATATATATTTTAGTGCGCGATAAAATGTAACAATAACGAAGTTATTAATAATAAATTTAGAAGAACAAAAACAGATAAACGTTTCATTTCAGAGGGAAAGAAAAACATTTTTAATAACACCCCTTAGAAGTGGGTCAATGATATAGATCATTTTGAAGATTAAATATCAACAATAATATTTGATAATATTCATGGTAACAAGCGATAGGAAAAGTAGAAAAGTAGGGGAAAAGTTTTTTTAAATTAAATTCTACACACACATCGTCCTTATTATAGCTAAATATTGTCAAACGAATCCAAACATTCATATCATTACAAATATAGCAATAGAAATAAAACATATTATTTATTTACAAACATTTATCTTACAAGATTGTTAAATTTGACCAGATATCTATCAAATTTGTAACAAGCATAGTGATGCTTCAAACTAGCCAAGATATATCTTGTACAGAAACGTTAAAGTGTCTCCAGTTAGTGAGATCATAATGTGTTAGTCGACAGATTTTAATTCGATAAACTTAATTAGACGTTTTAACGAAAATCAATGTATTTCAATAACAAAGATTAACAAAAAACGTTTACTTCGCAATTTCTTTTCTGGAAATATGTTTGCTGATTTGTCTAGGCGAAAAGGTATCTTTTCTTCTTTTGTAAAAAAAAGGGTTATTTGACAAAAAAATCGCCTACACAAAAACTTCAAGCATTTTCAGACAAGTAACTAAGAATAACAACAAATGGTCTTGCCTTTGTGAATAATATAAATTGTTTTCTGTTAAAACATCGTAGAAAAAATATCAGTAGTCTTAATTACACCTAATGATCGTTCTAAATGAAGGCCCTTAAACGTTTCCGTAATTTTGTTATTATAATATCTATCTAGCTATTTAATACTTTACAATAGGCCTACATGCTTGCTGAATAATCATAAAATGTTTTTAGTGCGCTATAAAATGTAACAATAACTAACTTATTAATAATTTTTTAAAGAATGAAAAAAAAATATAAACGTTTCTTTTCAGACGGAAAAAAACATGTTTAATAACACCCCTAAGAAGTGGGTCAATTATATAGATCATTTTGAAGATTAAATATCAACAATAATATTTGATAATATTCATGGTAACAAGCGATAGGAAAAGTAGAAAAGTGGGGGAAATTGTTACACATACCTTTAATCCAATTAACTGTCAATTATATGTATTTATTAACTTTTTCAATTGTAAACCTTTTTCTATGGTAAATGACCTTTGAAAACGAAAGTAGTCCAAATAAATCACGAAACACTTACAAGTCAGTCACTGTCATCTGATAGTCCTTTTCGATTCATGGTAGGATCTAAATAGCATTGTTGAAAACAAACAATTTATAAGTCTGAGGATAAAAAAGATTTTTAGTATCAAATCTAACGCGCATTATCATGTTTAAGTTTAAGGTATACTACCACTAAATTTGAAAAAGCTAATCCATCCATTTAGTTTCTGTTAGTTTTTGTTTTGTTATGTTTTGTTTCATTTCTTTTCTTTTTTCTTCTTTTTTTCTTAAAAATCCTGTATGCAGTAAATGAGGTTATATACCTAACTTAAGTGAAGTTATATATACTGTATGTATATAATTATGTTTATAAAAAAAATTCAAACATCGAAGAACATGTAAAATATGTACTGCAAATATGTGTACACATTATATGTAATCATTCAAATATATGCATTCATTTCTTATTGAAATTTGAATTTGACTTAGACTTTATAAAAAATAAATCTTTTTATTACCTCCCTTTATTTACATGAAATGTTAAATTCGGTAATATCTTTATAAATAATGCTTTTTGGAACTTACAAAATTGATAAATCTTAATTTGAGCATCATTTTATGTTACAGGATCTTTAAAATGTCGTTGTACAGAAAAAGAATCATGATAACTTAACATTTTGCTATTGTGATAATTTTTTTCACTTTTATCTACTACTTGACAAGGCTAATCGCTTACCCTCGATAGCGATATAACCCAGTTAAGGTAGACTACACCTTATACATTGCCCAAACTTTGAAGTGTATTCAAATTGGCTGGTATTGCTGCAAACTCTGAAGGGCGTTAAGGTAGACCACACTTATACATTATCTCCGCTTTGAAGAGTATTCAAATTGGATAGTATTACTGTCAACTGCATTGAAACTGAAGGGCTTGAGTTCAATCAACGCAAGTGGCAACTTTTGTTTCCTTTTTTTTTTTTCTTTTTAATATTATTTATGTTTCTCTTATATCCCTTATTGAAAGAAACAAATGTTTAATTTTCATTTATATATTTATTGTAGGTATTTATTGGGTAAATAATGCCAAATTTTGTATAATATCAGATATTTTAAAAGTCTAATAAAAAATACACGGTTAATGTATTTTATATTTTGTAGGATCAACCAATATACCTTTTAAAAATTTAGGCAAACTTTAAAAACAGTCCTCATTGTCGAAAATTTTAGTGATATTTTGAACAAGGCTTTCTAAATAGGGAAATGGTAAAATTAGTGTTTAAAGTGGGTTACGTATTAAAAATATTTTGTGTAGAAACAATCATTGAGCTCTTGTGATTTGTTATCTGAATGCTATTATTTGTTTCTTAACAATGATCAATAGGAAAACATTTTTCATAATGATGATATTAAAAATTATTTAGAGTTTCTTCATTTCTGAAAAAGAACCCTTCTAAAAGCACAGTTTTATTACATAAATGTCCATAACTCATAAATTATACCTTGAATTATGTTTAAATTTTGCATACAAGTGTCCTTCTAGGCATATAACTGTCTTGTGTTGCCAATTTTACAGTTCCTTATAGTGTCAATTAGGAGTAGTCTACCTTAAAATGGACTCCATAGGCCAAGTTCAAACTTTGACCAAAAAACCAAAAAACAATAAAAAAAAACCGGATCAGTTTTCAAAGTTGTAAATTGACCCTGCAAACATTTCAACCTAGAATTTTGGTACAAAAGCTAACCAGCCATTGGAATTTGATCAATTTTGGTTATTTTAACGATTTCTACAATGTAAGATTAACATTGGATACGATATGTTTACAGCAAAGAAACAATAAGAGGCTTCATTAACATGTTTTCACAAGGCCGACGGACAAAATCTAATAATGAATATGTGAAACAATGAATTCGTAATTAAAGTTTAGTACAAACGGGTGTGTGCATAGTCACTCGGAGGTCAGATCCGGACCCGCACCGTGATGTGCTCTTGTTTGTACCCAGTTTAAGCCCTCAACATGATTTTTTTAAATCCCAATATATATCAAGTTGCAATAAATTACTTAAGACTTTGAAGGTTAGAGTAGTTTTCTGTGTTTAAATTAAGTTTTCGGATTTATATTTTGTTATGCATGCGTTCTGGAATGCAAGAAAATTGTGAGAGTTATGTTTCACGCTTTCCACTCAGTGTAACTATGCCTATATATATTGAACGAATTTTAAATCTTCTTTGGGGACTCGCATATAAATGTTTAAAGACGTGCAAGGTCATTATGACAGACAGATGTATTCTTGTTGTGTAAATTTTCTTTTCTTGCTGTTTTATTTAGTAAATTTTTGTTATTTCAGAAGATCGTAATTCAGTTAAATTTTTATTACAAATTCAATTTATAGAAATTTTATTTTGCATTTTGACAGTAATTTTTCGTTCTCTAATTTTTCGTCTTCAGAAAATAAAATCTGTAGATTTATGAATTCATTACTTGAATATTGGTAATCTGTTTATAATCATTGATAGCGGTGTTTTGTATTGAAGGCCGTTAACGCCTTGAGTGCACGTTATTTTATCATGCACATGTTTCATTTATATTTACTAAAACAACTTTTCATGTTCTTGTAAAATACAGTAAAAGTCATTTATAATTAAGTCTGCTGCAGATGTTCTTTTTATATAATTCTTATTTCTTTAAGTAATTTTCATATCACATCATCATCATTTTTTTGTACGAAACAATATAGATTCGGTTCAAGGACGGATTTCGTCGATATTTTGGTGGCATCCGATCTGGCTTCATGTTGTATATCTTACAACGTGCTACGATATATAATAAACGTTGAATTCATTTTACCAGTGTGTGTGGCGTTCCATAAGGGACATTATATTTTTAGAAGCTTTGTTTATAGGAATCCGACAAAGGTCCGGCTATTCTAAAGAGATATACATATACCCTTATATTTGTGTGCCATGGATATTTACTGTGTTTGATATTTTGTAGCTTCTACTCGGTGGTTTAACCCTCAATTTTGAATCACGCATGTGTTCACACAGCGACGATAGTGGAAATTGTGACGTACCGACGCAGTCTTGGATCTACACTCTGTAGACAGTACAAAATCGATCTTTCTGCTTTGAATGGGTCACATCTGGAGATTGTGACGTATAGACCCCACATCCACAGTCTTGAAGACAGTACAGAATCGATCTTTCTGCTTGTGATGGGTCACATCTCGAGCACCATTGAATTTTTTATTTGAGTTTCGCCACCGGGAAAAAGTGCTATTCGACAGGACATTAGAAACTTGACACGGAACTTTTTTTTTCATTCAAATTCATATCATTTACTTTTATTATAAATAATCATTTATTTTTGTAAATAAAATGTTAAATAGTTTGTACTGAGTTGTGCTTTGTTTTGTATGGTAGTTGTGATCAGGAGTGTTCCATCGTAGTCCATATTGTGACAAATATGTCCTTTTATTCAATTTCAAAATAACTTTTTTATTCAAAGCATAGGTCACCATACAAAGGGTGTTCTTGAAATTTGCGCGTAGAAACAACTCGTAGAAGTGTAATAAACCTGTAACTTTTTGCCTAGATCATATTTATACTCACTTAAACCATTAGTGTTCATTACCAAAACTGTAAAGCATTAATTATACTCTTAACCTACTGGAACGGAAAGTCAAATGCCTTTGCCGCTGAAATACAGTTGCACCTTTTCATTATTCCTCATGTACAGACTCAATCAAACCGAGTAAATTTGTTGTTATTAATGCTTCCGAGGGATCACATTTTACCAAGATTTTTATACATCACAACGCAGGTATCAAGTGCTGGTAGCAGCTGTAAAATGTTGCCCCGTACGTACTACACACTTTAGTGTTGTTATATTTTTCTGGTACGTTATAATTGGCTCTTACGTTTTAAGTGTTGAAAATTCAGTACCACTCAAGCGGGTGCTAGGGGGCGTGAGGCATGTTGCACTTTTTCATTTTCCTTCATGTACAGACTAAATCAAACCGAGTCTGCAGTTTTCATGTAATTTTTTTGTGATTAATGCTTCTGAGGATACAGATTTTTTTTACACATGTGTAATCTAAAAAAGGTCCTATGCTGTTGGAAGCTCATACTTTACATTAATTAAAATCCAAAATCTTCGGACTTTTCCAAATTGAAGGAAAGGCACGATCAGACGACTATAGCAGGCCAAAATCAAATACGATGTCAACGTTTGCTTTCAAGTTGCGTTCGTTTGCTTACTAATTCGCGACCAAATTCTAGTTTGCTTTAAATAATGATTTTCACAGAACCGTGGGGTTAAGATTCTGTCACCCCACATCCCTCTTTCGAGACAAGTGTCATGTCTTAGTAACTTTTATCAATATAACAAGAATTTTGCATCTGACCTAATCAATTCTATTTCCAGATAAATGTAAAAAGTCATACACCTTCAACTTTTATGATACTTGTTAGTATCTCTATACGATTTTGTTTCCTATTCTGTTTCCTATTCACGTGGAAAATTGAATCAAACCACTTATGTTTACATGTAAATGTTTAAGGATACTTAAAGTTAATATTGGTTTCGCAAGGTGCGGTCAGGACCGTGTCAGTGATAATTTCTACATACGAGGGATGATCCAGAATCACTTAGACGTTTGCAATATCTGTTATACAAGGCAAGGTTTCATATATAAAATGCATGTAACATAACAGCAGGATGCATCACTTTCATGAAAGTTATGAAAATGTAATAAAAGTAAAACAATTATCGAGTCAATAAAGAAAGTGCATGTGTGTAATTTACTTTTTACAAACTGCACTTTCCATCCACGTAAATTACCAAATAAATGTCAAAATATGCAAAATAGTCCTTACATCGTTAATCACGCAGTAAATATGGCCACACCGTGTAAAAACTGCGAAATTAGTCATTCCATGAATCAGGCATATAACAATTTAATTGTTACATGAATTGTATTTTACTTTCGTTAAAAATCTATATAAATTTTTCTTAATGTTGATTTTCTTAAATTGTTTTTGCTCAAAGGTTAGTCAGACATCGTTAACATTACAGACAAACGGTAAGACGTATTTTCTGTTCGCTGATGAATCCGTGCACAGCGAGCAGCTCAAGACATTGCCTTAAAAATAATATTAAAAATCTGGTCGTGTAAATTTTTCATTT